CACTAGGCAACTAAGGCACATGCTTCAAATACAACCTGCCCTCTTCCTAGCAGGCATGATTTCTTATCTACTGGCTGAGTTTGGACACTCAGAAATGGAGCTAATCCCCCAAGTTGGCTGGTTTTTCCCTTGTTTGCTTGCTAATTTTTTCCTTTCGAAAGGGAATGGAACAAAAAAGTCACTGACAAAGAATACACATTTCATCTGTATCTTATCGCAAGAATTTTGAGTTTGTTGCCACTTGTTGAAGTCGTCGCCTCTCGTATTTTATTTCTCTTTGCATCAAAAGTTTAATCCAAGTTAAGGACACAGAAGAATGGGAACAAAATTTTGACAGGAATAAGCTAACTTATGGTTAAGTTATAACCGACCACTCTTCAGTATATATATTTTTTTACCTCTCAATTCTCATCTTATAAATGAAACAATTAAGTAATGAACTCAGCTTATAATTTAAAGCCACTCCACCTTCCCTAGGTCCCTTACCTATCAAACATGTAGAGTCTGCTGACCAATCCTAGAAGATTTAGATTAATTTGGACACCAAAAAATTGCTAATAAAGTTGGTGTGTATGTATGTCCAACCTGAGAATCTATTCTAGTTCATGCTGAAATCTATTGCCACCGTTTCCCGACAAAATCAAAATTTCATGTATGTGGTAGCTAGAAATAAAATAACGGCAATGACAGTGACCAGGCGGCTTTTATTTCTTCTTTCTTGTCGTGTCGCACTTAGATTCATTCATTTGTGTGGAAATAGTGATCAGGGTAGGCAGCCTGATTGTGATTATATCATTATACCCTTGTTTCTCTTTTTGTCAACTTCATGGCAATATTCTGAGGAAGGTATGTATTGCTATATCTGAGAATATTCAAAGTATACAGTAATGATCATGGAAGCCAAAAAAAAAATCGACAATGTGCGTAAACCCTGCCAATGATCATGTAAATGAACCTTTCAGTTTGGCAGATTCCAGTTTCTGCTTCAACAGATATTGACTAGAGACTTCAAAACATCCTGGCTTGACATTAAATATTGAGTCAATTAATCGATTTACCCAAAAAAATAATAGGAGGGAGAGGAACCTTTGAAATTTTCCCATTGCCAGAAAGGAGATTCTGTTATCTTTTAGATTGGGCTGCCTTATATTTTCCCTATATTTCGAATACCGAGATTAGAGTTGTAGAGTAGATTAAAATAATCCCATGGATAATGCCACAAAGAGAGAGGTTTTCACATTTAAGCACATGATGGCCATGGAATTATATAAACAGAAACTGTTCACAAACTTACAATTAATCATGTCCACTGCTTTCTGTCTTTTATCTTAATGCTGTCCAGCCTTTTAGCTATATTTATATGCAGATGAGAGGGCCACCAATTTTTGTTTCCATTGCTTTTTATATCTTTATCATAAGCAAAGTATCCATGTGATCACAAATCAAGTCTAACCTAAAGATTCCAAAGTCCTCTCCTTCTTTTCTGCGGCCTATACCACATTGTTTGCTTCTTTTGATCATATGCTGAAAAAATTTTTGGTAATAACAATCATATTTTGTTCAAGAGCTGGTGGGCTCGATCAACACTATGTTGACCATGGCATTTGCAGTTCATGAAATGGCGCGATAGGCCGTACAAATGCACATGCCATTGCTATAGGATCAGTCACTATGTGGGTTGTAAAAAAAATGGGGATAGGATGAGTCTTAGATCTTGATCATAATAGTTGTTCCCTGTGCTGGTTATATTATAATATCCTACCTTATCTTTAGTCCTTGGCGTTAGAAACCATCAACTGTTCAAGGTGTCCACAAAGACCAACTTCTTTCTTATTCCTTTATAAAGAAAGGAGTTAACACTCTTCTAAGCACACTGAAGAATGCTCAAAAGAAACCATTTCTGGAGAAGTAGACATGGCGTGATGTTGGTCCGGCTCAGCTTCTTCTGTTGTATAAACAGCTTGTAGATGAGCCGAATCAATATCACTCTTGTATGCTTCTTTGCAACAGCTTTTCATTTGCGTGAAAGCAAGCCATTGTCTTCAGGATATTCCATATACCTTCTTCTGTTCCATTTCTGTATATCTTCATTGTACAGCTTTTAGGTGGTGCCAAAATAGTAGATCCAAGAGAATGGTTTCAGAGAACACCTGGTAGGTAATAGAAACGATAAAGTGTTGAATGCAAATACTACAGCTTTCCATGACTAATGAAAGAAGAGAATTTCCTCTGTTGTCTCTAGGAATGGTATGGTATCGTGATGTCAGTCATCTCTTCTGAGAAGATTAGTGGTATTGGTGATCATGGCTATTTTTTCAAAGAACATTCACATTGTCTTCTTCCCATTGAATGACTTCCCATACGATCAACAAGCCATTAATCGTTCCAAGTAGCCCCCCTGCAAATTCAAACTAGCTACTCTTGCCTGTTTTATACTTTGCCATCAGTATCAAAATAAACTATTTTCATCCATGTTTGTTTTCAAGTCTTTCAGGATCTCGTTTCCTGCAAAAAATAGAGATTACTTCGCAACATACCCATATGTAACTAGCAATACCTTTGGGTTGAATCCGTAAAAAAAGAAATAAAAGGAAATTAAAATAAAAGAATCTATCTGCCCTATGCTATTTGCAGTTCAAAACATTCCATTGTTTTACAGATGCTTTAAATTAGGCCATTCTCTTTGATCATGCACATGCTTGGGGTTCTTCACAATCTAAATTAGTTTCCCTTCTGTATGGATTAATCTGCATAATCTCTAGTAAATTCTTGCAATAGACTTCTATGTACATATGAATATATTACAGTGTAAACAACATAGAATGCACTTAAATAGTGTGTTGAACATATGTTCGACGATTATTTAGGTCAGTAGAATTTCAATCATGCAGTGGAAACATATCGGGTGTAGTACAATTTGTAATAGAAATTGGACAAATTATAAAGGATAAAAGACATGAAATGATAGTATCCAATATATATAACTGAAGATCCACCTTTGAGGTCATTGATATTCTTCCACTTGTGTATATATGGAATCCTCCTTCATTCTTTAAATTATTTTCGTTTATTCAAGCAGCCGAAAGCATATTTAGATCTCACTGAGGTACTGATTAACCCATGATGGATCTACTTGTTTTTTTCAGTTGAAATGGTCGAACTTTCTTGTATCTAATTCATCTACCTCTCAGTACTTGTCTTGGCTGTGGTGAAAGGGACCTTCACTGAACAAACCACTGAATTTTCGAGTAATATCTTTATAAGAAGTGTTTATGCTCTTGGAGGCAGTCAATTCTCTTCTATTTGGATCATAGACTAAATTACAAACATACATGACAGCGAGGAATCTGGTTTACCCTCAATTCGAATATTCAAATCTAGTTTTCTACCATGTATGAGCTCTGGGAGACAGTTTTGCTGCTACACCGGCTGCGCCCTTCTCACCTGATGTTCACAATGTTAAAGTGTTGTGCCTTGTGCTTAACAATGGTTCTTCAGAACATGCTGCAATGGTAAAACCAAACACATAGCCAGGTTACGAGGACGATGACTATAATATTGATTTTCGGGACATTTTTCAGTTTGATCATGTTGAAAGTATACTTTGAAAATCAATTTTTCATATTCAAGGTGTGAAGTGCAATATTTCCTTTGTCTCTAATACGCATTTCAGGCGACGGTTTCTTGATTCCTCATCAGCTGTATATTTCTTCCATGGAAGCTGAAGCATGTAGTCTACAAGTATATAAGCTATCAACGTTGTAGCAGTCTATATAAAGAGGAAAGTGATGTTGCAAGTACACATTTGGTTCCTTCTATCCTGATATCTTATTTGACTGAAGCGAAACTAGCAACATGTCGATGGACAATGCCCCCAAACTTAATTGGGCCTACCAGTGAAGCAATTGGTACTTGATCGGGTGGGGTGGTTTGGTTTGTGCCCTTCTATCAAGTTCTTCCTTTGATTCTCTCTTTCGTTTGAATTGGAAACAAGGGTACTGATGATTTATTTGAAAGTGAATTTCTTGCGACGAGTGTTTATGTGGTTACAAAAAACTTTCCTAGGCCATCCTAATGCGACCAATTGGTTATGTTTTTTGCAACGAAATATTCCTTTGGCAACAAGTTTTGTCATTAGGGGTATAACTTAGGCCAGTCAATCCGAATTTAACCCGAATCCAATCTGACTCCCTCAAATGAGCTCTCTCTCTTTTTTTTTTGGGGGAGAGGGGGAGAGAGAAAAGGGCTTGAACTATTTACCTCAAAAAGGCAAAACTTTCGCAAGATAAGGAGTATCATTGAACCAAAAGTTCATTAGTACCCAGATGACCTCTCAGACGCCTTTTCTCAGATAGATCAAAGATCGAAAATCGAAGATGAAGATCTCTCAGATTTGAGATCTATGATCTTTCTCTCAGATCTACGCCTCCCAAATTTTGTATGGTGTACTTGTTATTGTAGTAGTTGTGTGGTGATTGTGGTAGTAGCCGTGTGATTGTTGTGTTTTCCTATGGTTTGTTGTTTTCTTGTGGTGTGTTGGATGTAACGGTTTAAAAAAAAGCTAATTTTGGGTTTGAACGAAATTAACGCAAATTTAGTAATCTAAATTCAATTCGAGTCCACTAAAATTTAACTTTAGCAGTACTCAGATTGCATACTACAGGTTGAAATCGAATTTGAGTTAAAATTATTGTTGAAGATTATATACCTAGGGTTGAGTTAAGATTGATCTCCCAACCCGCCCGAGTTACATGTCTTTCTGTCGTTGCTGAAACAAGTTTTTTGTAATATTAACTGCAGATGATAAATCGAGGAGATGTTCAAGAATTAAGCAAGTAGCTTTGTAGATGCTTATAATACAGTCACTGCTATTTTAGTTGTAAGTAAGTTTTATTGCCTTAATTTTGAAGAAAATAAGCATGCCTTGCTGCAAATACTCAACAAGCAGAAGTCTGATAGACCCTCCATGACAACCCTAAAAAACAGACACATAATCTCCTCTATTACATGCACTTTAGAGAGTCAAAAAACAAGTTACAATGGCGTCGAATAGCTCCAAGACAATTTTCAGCAAGCTAAACTATTAGCTACATAGATCAAACATTAGGAATGTGATAGACACTCATTCAATTCATGATTTTTTTTCCCAGTAAGTAAAAAAAATGGGTAAGTGATTCAATTTATGATCTATAAGAGTAGAATCCATGGAAAATCTATTAACAATCAAAGTTTAAAACGAAAAATTATAGCTGAGCTAAAGATTCTAGCTAAAAGCTGGACCGCCATCAGCTGAAATCCCTTTGGCAGTTGGACAAGAAGCCAGGGGACACCCTTCTACATCGTTTCCCCGCCAATTAAGCTGGATGTTCCTTGATTGCAGGGCAATGAACATTAGCACAGTCATGAAGGCAGTTCCAGCATCAAGACCACCCGAAAGGACATAGTTGTAGCGCTCCAACCATGTTGGTCGGTGCCTGAAAACAACATAGCCTGACAGGAACGCCACAATAATCCAACTGGTGTAGTTCACAGCAGAAGCGGGAGGCATCATTGCTGTAGCACCTAACAAGACTGGCATATGGATGAGGCGTATCCATTGCTTCTGTGGAAATGTTTTGTGTGCCAACCAGACTAGGAGAGGGGCAATGGCTCCACCGAGAAAGAACCAGTTCACATTGGAGTAGACATCGAGGGCTCCAAAGATTCTGCGAGGCCCAACCAGCCCCCAAATAACAGAGGCGTCATAAAACACATGGTCCATCGGACACTTCCATTTTGATCAAAAGAAAAAAAAAAAAAAAAAAATTCCATTGGCTGTCAGATGGAAGCACGGAGGTATCACAAAGGTTGGGGGTGGCACCCATCATCCACCAAGCAGTTATCTTGTAGACTATTACTGATATAACTGTCCCCACCACCTGAAAACGGAACAGAATTTAGTTTTGTTCATTGATTTCCACAAGTAAACTAGAGCAGTCGAGACACCAACCTGAGCCATGAACATTGCTCTGGGCGGAATCTTCATGTAGTGACCAAGCTTGAAGTCTGACAAAAATGTTAGAGCTTGAATCATGCTGATGTATCCATACACCTTAAAGCACATGTTAGCAACCGGGCGCCCGGGGTACATGTACCCAATTATATACTCTGTGATGATATTTAGACCTGGTGACTGTTCACCAGAAAAAAATGAACAAAATACATCAAAATGTAAACATCACAGATTATAATCTTAGATAAATCAATTCCAATAACTTTGATGTTTACCTGGTTTGTTGTGGCAGCGATGATACCGACTGGAAGGGTGAAAAACAGGGCAATGCCACAAGCTAGCAAGACACCCCACCAAGGCAATTGAAGTATGTCATTGTAATACTCACAAGCAAACATAATGGCTGCAATGTTAAGCAGGAGGATGATGATAAACCACCACATGGGAACTTCTTTGTACGCCTTCATAAGCCTTGTGTGTATATCCGTTTTTTAACTCGCTCCAAAGACCCTTCTGGTTTGCTTCCACAAATCACTGCAAGAGTAGAGGTTCAAATCAGTTTTTAGCTTGGTTCACCAAGCACTCATAATGGCTTATGCATATCACCTTGACAGAAAGAACCGAAAAAAGTACACTAATCACTATAAGGATATACTTTAGATCCTCAAAATTTGTCAAATATTTAGCCTTTAATCTGCATTCTACTTCTATCAGGTTTGCTATTTCCACAAACCATAGGTCTTTACTTTTTATTTACACAAGTCAGATACGAATGCAGGACACAGAATCAAAGCACATAAAAGTGGTGGCATGTACCTTCCATTAAAGAGTAGGACATGGACTAGAGTTGCAGAAAGTGTAGCAAATCCAATGCCATATGTCATAGCAAAGAAGGTGCACAAATATAGATGCCCAGATTTTGCATAAGCAGCCTTATCAAGATGGAAATTGGAATTGATGATGCTTGAAGTGTTGTACTTTGAACCATCTACCATGAAAAGATCTTCGGAAAATATTGGGAAGTTCTTGCTATTGTAGACGTTAAACCAGTAACTGAGTGGTGTCATCACATACAATACAAGGAAGAATCCAATGGCAACATTTGCAGTGGCAAACCATGGGCTGGCTAGAGGACTCCCAAGGTATGATGAAATTGTAGACCAGTCAAATCCTAAGGAGCCAATTCCAAGTCCTTGTAATCCTGAGCCCAGTTGTTGCACTAAGACAGACTTGGGAGCAAGCCAACATATCCACTAGACCGATGTTAATATTTGGAAAAGGAAGCCAGGGAAGACATAGTAAGCAAAACTGCAATTAAAGCTATAAGGAAGAACTGGGTACGAGTTGTGCCACCTTTGGTTCTCTTCTCCTTCTCATGTAGTGCCCTGTGATATGTATAGTTATACTTTGAGCATAGAAGAAGCATTGATTTGCAATTTTAGAAAAGTAAAAAAGAAGGTAAGGAGACCTGAATTATGAGACTTGAACCAGATTACTCGGCCACCACATCTCTCCTGGCTCAACCAGATATTTCCGGAAGAGCCCTTCCCAACCGAAGCCTAACACCTACAAGTCATACAAGAAAAGGTTGGACACTAAAAATTCTGAGTTGTTACTGCTTGCACAACATGCTCTTAGAATCAGAGGTTTTTTCAATCTTCGTGTAACGAAGAATTTGAACGACTGTTATAATCATGTAAAAAGTAAATCTCTGCATCTCTAACTCGACTACATATTGCAAAATTTTTCTTCTGAAAATAAGATTCTTATTTACTGGAAAAAATTGATATACGATATACAGATCATGCTCTAGTTAACAATGCTGGGACTACACACCACACCAGCAAGTCTAAATCAAGTATTTTAACAACCCAACAAATTAGGTAACTTTCTCTCGCATCCCGATGCTTTCCAATTTGAATACAATAAAAATAAGACAATAATGGTGAGATCCCACAATCACAAGATAAAAGGTGTGCACAATACGATGGTTGTTCTTCATAAACACAGGTGTACTCTTCTTCTTTGTCATCAATGACCGATACAATCCCATTTCCTTTGAGGGGATAGATTCATCCTAGGATATTCTCCCAGAAATCAAGGAAAGTACTCTTTTAATCCCTCCCCATGAACAATTATCTAATACTTTTTTAGACAAAATCATTGAGATGTTCAATAACATTCTATCTAGGAACATATAAATATGTTGAACTTGGAGAGAGATTGAAAGAGAAGGGCACCTGTGTGGTAAGCATAACAAGAAAGGCAGGGATAAACGTGAGTCTCCTCTTGTAGTAAAGCTTGACAGCACTTAATATATGAGTGGCATAAACAGTTCCGGCACCGGCATTTGCAAAGATGGTAATCAAAACATGCTCTTTGATATTAAACGGCCCCGGATTCATGGAAAATTCCCTCCAAGAACCCTTCAAGAAAACGCGATTCATAAGGGTTCTCGCCATTAAGTGCCCCAGTGGCACGACAGCAATCTGAGCTGATATTGAGCTAATCGTTAATGGTTCAGTCCTGTACCAGAAAAACTGGTTCACAAAATATAACAAAACACACGCAGTGATCCCCAAGAACCACATTCTGAATGTGAGCACCGGCATGTTGGGATCATCGCTTTGGGCACTGTCAAGTCGACTTGTTTGATAGCGCAGTCAACGGAAGCCGGCGACTCCATGACTGAATCTTCATGATTCTCCGCCATGGAAATGATTTCAAGGTGTTTGATATTCTTCAGAAGCTAATATAACCATGAAATTGAAAAGCTAAAAATCTGCGACTATTAAATGCCAACATGAATGTGCGTAGATACTGAATGGGACTATTATATGTCAAAATTCCGTCACTCTAACATTACTGTTCTACTTATTACTGATGGTGTTTGATTTGGACACGGTGGAGATTCTATGGTATCTTAAATCCGAAACGGTCACCTGACAGAATTTAAGGAAAATCGCCATCTGTCAAAAGACAGCTAAGCCGTCAACTAGGATTCTAAGTCTTACAATCATATTCGGCACAATGGTACGTGAACTTAAATGCTGACTGGATTAATTATTGTTGTTAATTTAAC